AGAATTAGCTTCGCAATTGCAAGAACTCAAGAGCATCAAGGATCAAGCAACTCTAAGATCATCAAACACTGGAGTGAGAATTGATCAAGGGATCTTGGGGTCAGGAGCCAGAGGTGAACGTGGGGTTCTTTGATCACGCAACAGGGACCAAGTTCAGGAGAATCATCATCAACCACAAAGGAGGGTTGATTTGACTGGTGAATTTCCCTCAACTCATAACCAAAATTATGGTAATTTCTTAGGCCAAAAGAATTCCTTCTTTAGTAATCAGAAGTTAGTTCAACCGAAATCTCTTAGATTAGATTTTCCATCCTTCTCTGGTTCTGAGAACGTGGTGTCTTGGTTAGAACAAAGTAAACAAATATTTGATTACTACGACATCAAAGAGGATGAATGGGTTAAGGTCTGCTCTTTTTATTTGAGGGATGAAGCTCTACAGTGGTTTAGGTGGGTTACAAAAAATCTTGACTATTATAATCACTGGGAGGTCTTTAAATAAGAAATCATCACCAGGTTTGGGCCTAATGAACTCCTCAGACCCTATGACACATTCTCTACTATGAAGCAAACATCTACTGTTAGGGAATATTTGGGCAAATTTGAGAAGACCCTAGGCCTATTAGATGATCAACAATCAAAACGTCACATATTGAAAAAATTTATAGGGGGATTGAAGGATGAGTTAAGGTATGAGGTAGCTGCTGCTAAACCTTCTTCCTTGAAGGGGGCAGTATCATTGGCCAAGTTGTTTGAGGATAAACAAAAAAATGAAAAGAAAGTTAGAGGCAATTGGAATGTCTTTAATCAAGGGAGACCTTCAACCTGTTCATCTATTGAAACTCTTGTCCAAGAAAGACTTAAATCAACTTCACAGGTCAAGAAGCTTACTCCTGAAGAAATTCAAAGAAGGAGGAGTCAGAATATCTGATTTACTTGTGATGAAAAATGGCATAGGGAACACCAATGTAAGGGTAAGCGCTTGTTCATATTGGAGGGCATCATGACAGGAGATACTGAGGAAGATGTAAGTAATTCCTTAGAGGATGAAGCTGGTCAGGTAGCAGTTGAACTGGTTGAAAGTTTAGTGAGAGGGGCTCCATCTATTTCTGTGCAGGCTCTCAGTGGAATCACAGCTTCCCACACTATTAGGGTAGTTGGTTATTACAAAAATCAAGCCATTAGCATCTTGATAGATTCTGGTTCCACACATAATTTTATCAACTCTAAGTTAGTCAAGAAACTAGGTTTGACAGTGACAGAGTTTAATAACTTTGATATTTTGGTGGCAAGTGGAGAGGTAATCAAGGGAGCTGGGGTATGTCAGGAAGTTTTACTTGATTGTCAAGGGGTAAACATTCAGGTCAATCTGTTGGTAATGCCTATGGGAGGCAGCCAGATTGTTACTTGATTGTCAAGGGGTAAACATTCAGGTCAATCTGTTGGTAATGCCTATGGGAGGCAGCCAGATTGTATTAGGTGCAGATTGGATGAAGACATTGGAGGATATCATATTAAATTTCTAGATATTACAAGTAACTTTCTTAAGTGATGGAATTAAAAGAACTTTGCAAGGGGTAATTCCAGGAGAGATGCAATTAGTCAATGAAAAAAGTATTGCCAAATCAGTTAGAGAACAGGAAAAAGGATTTCTGATTCAGTTGTGCAGTGTAAGTTTGCAGTAATCAAAATTGGAAGGCCTAGGTGAAGAATTACCTGAAGAAATGCACCAGTTGATTCAAGACTTTGATGTGGTTTTTCAAGAATTACCCCACCTTCCTCCTGCCAGGAAGATAGACCATAGGATTCCACTTGAGTCTGGAACAAAGCCAGTGTGTATCAGACCCTACAGGCATTCACGTTTTTTGAAGGAGGAAATTGAAAAGCAAATTGAAGAGAAGCTAAAAAGGGGAATCATTAGACCCAGTCATAGCCCTTTTTCTTCACCTGTAGTCTTGATTAAAAAATCAGATGGAAGCTAGAGAATGTGTATAGATTACAGGACTTTGAACAAAGCAACCATTAAAGATGAATTTCCTATACCAGTCATAGATGAGCTTCTAGATGAGCTCCATGGAACACAGTTTTTCACCAAATTGGATTTGAAGTCTAGTTATCACCAAATGAGAATGTATGAACCAGATATTCAGAAAACCGCATTCAGAACTCATAGTGGACACTTTGAATTCTTAGTTATGCCATTTGGTCTCACAAATGCTCCTTCAACATTTTAGGCTCTCATGAATACCATTTTTAAAAGTTTGCTCAGGAGGTCTGTTTTGGTCTTCTTTGATGACATCCTGGTATATAGCAAAGGGTGGCAAGATCATTTAGAGCATTTGAAGCAAGTTTTCCAGATTATGAAGAGCCACAAATTAGTTGCAAAGTTGTCCAAATGCAGATTTCGATAGAAACAGGTTGAATATCTGGGGCATATTGTGTCACAAGAAGGGGTTAGTGTAGACCCCAATAAAATTCAAGCTATAGTTGATTGGCCTGTACCTAAATCACTCAAAGGGTTGAGAGGGTTCCTAGGCCTAGCTGGATACTACAGAAAATTCATAAGAGACTTTGGAACAATAGCTCAGCCCCTAACACACCTTTTAAAGAAGAGCCAATTTGGTTAGAATTCAAGTACAGAGGGTGCTTTTAAATCTCTGAAAGTAGCCTTAACCAATTCTCCAGTCTTAGCTATGCCTGACTTCAATTTACCATTTGTGATTGAGTGTGATGCATCTAGAACTAGAATTGGGGCTGTGTTGATGCAGATGAACAGACCAATAGCATATTTCAGTTTTGCTTTGAAGGGGAGAAATGCTACCTTATCTACTTATGAGAAAGAATTACTAGCTATCATCCTCTCTACTAGAAGGTAGGAAAAATATGTGCTTGGTAGGAGTTCTGTGATAAGGACTGACCATCAGAGTCTCAAATATATTCTTGAGCAAAGAATTCAGGCAGGAGTCCAGAATAAATGGCTGGCTAAGCTACATGGATATGATTATGTGGTGGATGCTGCAGATGGCTTATCCAGAATTCATGGAGAAGAAGTGGAACTTTCAGCTATTTCTATGGTCAATAGTGACTGGTTGAAGGAGATCATAACCTTATGCTCTGAAGATGCCTTCTACAAGGAACTTGATGAGAAGCTACAGCAAGGACAGGTGAGCACTGAGGAGTATTCAAGGAAAGAGGGCATTTATTACTATAAAGGCAGAACTTTACTCAGTCCTAGTGCCCAGGAATTAAAAACCACCTTATTGAAAGAATATCATGATAGTCCTACTGAAGGACATTCTGGAGTTACCAGAACATTACATAGATTGAGGAGGGCTTTTTACTGGACAGGAATGAAAAAAGATGTCCAACGACATGTCCAATCTTGTGATACATGTCAAAGAGATAAGGGAGAAAATGTTGCATCCCCAGGGCTCCTACAACCATTGCCTATTCCAGAGTATATTTGGGAGAACTTGTCCATGGATTTTATCACAAACTTACCGAGAAGTGGAAACCAAACTGTGATATTTGTTGTGGTTGACAGGTTGTCAAAGTATGCACATTTCTTTGCATTAGCACACTCTTACAATGCCCAATCTGTTGCTCAGGTGTTCTTTGAAGGAGTGTTCAAACTCCATGGGATGCCCAAATCTATAGTTTGTGACAGGGACTCTTTGTTCACTAGCTCATTTTGGAAAGAACTCTTCAAAGTGCAAGGGAGCCAACTCAAATTCAGCTCAGCATACCATCCACAAACTGACGGACAGATTGAAGTAACTAATAAAAATCTGGAGTGTTATCTGAGATGTTTTTGTTGTCACAAGCCAGGGGAATGGAGTAAATGGTTGCCCTTGGCTGAGTTTTGGTATAATACTACATTGAAGGTTTCAACCAATACTACACCTTTTGAAGCAGTGTATGGCCGACCTCCTCCATCCTTACTCTCCTATATTCCTAAAAGTTGTAAGGTAGAGTATGTAGATGCAGCTCTCTTTTCCAGAGATATCACCTTACAATTTTTTAAGGGCAGCTTGAAGAAGGCAGTAGAACAGATGAAAAGGTTTGCTGATATGCACAGGAGTCCTAGGAGTTTTGATGTTGGAGAATGAGTATTTCTTAAGCTTCAGCCCTATAGACAATTGAGTGTCTTCTCCTACAAAACTCATAAGCTTTCCCCTAAATATTATTGGCCTTACCAGATCTTAGATAAAATTGGTGAGGTTGCCTACAAGTTAGACCTTCCTACTCAGGCACAGATTCATCATGTGTTTCATGTTTCAGAACTTAAGAAGAGAATAGGTACTTATGTTGTCCTTCAACATGATCCTCCTAGCTATGTTGCTGAGTTGGTTGATGAACCTGAAAAGATTATGGACAGAAGATCAATGGTTCAAGGGAAAAAGTTGGTGTTACAGGTTTTAATCAAATGGAAGCAACGTTCTCCTTTAGACTCTACTTGGGAATCTTATTGGGATCTTGTCAAGAGGTTTCCTGCATTTGACCTTGAGACAAGGTCTAATTTAAGGGGAGAGAATTGTCAGGGATGGAGCTGAACTGGAATTGAACTGGAGCTGAACTGGAGCTGACAATGATGTACAGGGAGATTGGAAGACAGGAGCACTGAAAGAGATTGAATTTAGGCTTGAGAGGGTCTGTTTTGCAATACTTTTAAGTCCAGGTAGATTGTAATAAATGTCCAAAGTTTGTTACAGACAGTTAAAGCCTGTTTTGTTAGTTTTGAGTATGTGCACGTTTTGTGCACGTTTTCTTGTTTTGGCTGTTTGAGCGACAGTATAAAAGGGGAAATGTAATCAGAGATCAGTATGAATGGAAAAATATTGATTTCCTCTCCTCAACTCAATTTTAATCTCCCTCTTCCTCAACTTCTCTCCATTTTCCTTCCTTTCTCTATTCTTACAGGCTCCTCATAGCCAAGAACATGGCTAGAAGATTCAATCGAGGAACACGATCCTCTCAGAAGACTTCTCACTGAGTTCTAGGGTCTCCTCGCTATCCTGCACTCCCGCGCGTCCGCTGACCACCTCGACTTCGTTTCCTCCTCACGTCGACTCCCCCGTCCGCCGCGCCTCTCCTTCACTTCCTCTCGTCCGACAAGTTCGTCGATTTAAAGGCCATCCCCTCTAGCATCCTGTGATTTGGGGTTCTTATCTCTCTCCTTTTCAATCATCAAACCTAGGGCTTCAATTTTTCCTTTTTCTCTATTTAATGAAAATCTTATTTGATTTTACACATTAGGGCCTTGTTGTCTCGGTTGATCTTTGAAAGTGGTTGAAAATTCTACATCTTTACTGGATAAGGTAAATCCTCAAATTTGAATTAGTATATGTTCTTAATTTTTGTTTAAATTAGTTTATTTTCTCTATTTTTTCTGTCCATGTTATGTAATTATTTTGTGTGTCATAGCTTTTGGCAGTCAAAATTGATATAACCTTCTTCTTTTGCTTCTTCTAATCATATAACCCTGTGTGTACAAAAGCAAGATTTATGGGGGAGAACTGGTTGAACTTCGGAAGGAAAGTCGATGGGAATTTCTGAATACTCTCTTCTCTGTGTTAGAAGCTGTAATGTATATGCAGGTGATTACTCTCTTTTTCATGTAGTTTTCTCTTTTTGACCATCTACTGTATATTTTTCTCCTATTCTACTTTGGATAGGAAATTTAAAAAAGTAAAACCTTCACATTCATCAGCCTCTCTAGCTTGTTAATAGTTTAAGACATGTCATGTAGTGCTTATTTGCATAAATATCGCTGTTTCTTACCTTTCAGATTAAATGGTATCTGTTTTATACTTGTTCTGATTAAGTGGAACATCAACTAGTATGAATTTCTGTTGAACAAATGAGTAATTAAGATCGTTTCCAGGTGTCCATTGTACTTAGTTATTCAATTCTGAGGATATTAATCTCAATAAATATTTGAGGATGACATCATAGTTAATGAAATCTCTATGCTTTTATCAAATATTGAGGATCTTGTCTCTATGGAAAGATATCCAGCAGCAATAAACATGAAGGTCCCAATGGACATTAATTTGATGATCATGGCTCAATGTAAAGATATCCAGCAGCAGAAAACACTGTACTTGTGCATTTGGTCACGAACAACTTTTCAAAGGGTCTTCTCCTTTTTGACCTGTTCTGACCAATTTGCAGCATAAAGCTCCATGGACAAGTAAAATCTATTCTTAGTTGTTTCCTTCTGAATTTCAAAGTTTCAGATTCCATTTTATTATCTTGTTATAACGGATCATGCTACTACCTTCTTATGTTTATTTTATCCGACTAATGTCTTGTCAGTCATCAAATAAAAAGAGCAGTTCCATATAGTTGAGAATGACATTACTTGGTTTCTCTGTGCAGATGGTTGACAGATTGGATCAAGGAGCTATATCATCTGAACTTGGACCATTTGACTATAAAGGGCTTTTCAAGGCAACACACTGAACTTATTAACTATAATAGGTATAGTTATAATCTTACAATGCTGCTTTGTATTTCAGGCTGTTTCTAAAGCCCTTTTCAGAGCACATGTTGAAGGCCAACTTAAGGTGACATTCACATTCATTATATTCAATAATTTCTCTTTGACCATTGATAGATGTTTGCTGGGTGATCTTGCAGAGTGAGATAATGGCTGAACCAGAATGGTTTGTCAAGCCTGACACAGAGCTCCCTTTCGCTCTTTTGAACCAAAAAGAGGTTCATAAATATCTCCTTTAACTTAATCCAATATCTGTTTCAGGTAGTCATGCTTAAAACTTTTTTTTTTCATTACTCATTTTCTATTGGCTGTCAGGCTGGGAAGAGGTTGCTATTAATTACCAACTCAGACTATCATTACACGAATAAGATGATGCATTATGCCTTCAATAGGTTTCTTCCTAATGATATGACATGGCGTGACCTTTTTGACATAGTGAGGTTTATGAGAATATTTAACTGCAACTTAGTTTCACGTGCATTATCTAGTTCAATAGTATGATTCTATGAATCAATCAAGCAATCATATTAGCATCAAGACTTTAGTGAAGCTGTTCTTATTTAACAAATGTCCTATAGACATTTCACAGGTCATTGTCTCAGCAAGAAAGCCTGAATTTTTTCCAAGTGTTGCACCCTTTGTATGAAGTAGTTACAGATGATGGACTAATGCGTCCCAGCTTTAAGGCATGTTCGGGTGGTACATTCTGGCTTTTGTGAAATTGTATTCTTGTTAGTAAGTTCTAGTTGCTCAATGCATGTAAATGTATGTTTTGCTTATCTCAGTGTCACAAAACTATAAGTTGCATCATGCTGAAATTTTTTGAGTATATCTTGTTGCTAGATACAGACATTAAGAAGTAAATGATGCTCAACTAGACTATCATGTAAAATCCATCATCTTCCAAGATTAACCAGACCCAGCCAATATGCATTTGGGTTTGTCCTAAGCCGAATCTGGTCCAAGCTGGTCAAGTTTTGTCCTTGGAATGAACTATAGCAGTCATCTAACTGACACTATATAGCTAGTGTGTGAAAGTTATTAACTTAAAATTAGCATTCTAGCCAGTTTTAGAAGTGGTATGCTAGAAGAAGTTTCCTGCATTGCAGCGCCAGTATGCTTAGAGTTGAAATAATATTGAATCAACTTAACATTTCTAATATTCTGATTCTTGTCGATTGTCTACATATATTGCCATGGGATAAAGTGTTTGAACTTAGAAGATGAAGTTAGTTTTCTGGTGAGTGTTTTAGCACTTAAATTGTCAGTTGTTGAGTTAATTATTAGCTATTATTATTTATTCTTTTGGGGCTGTGTGGAGTCCGATTAAAACTTAAAGGGTATGCCTGTAGTTTTTAAACCAGCCTTCTATATATTTCCGGGATCACCTATTAGCACTACAGTAGATTATTCAATTGAATACTGTTTTGTGGAGAAATTCTTTACCTCTTCCAACTTGTCCCTATTTGGCCTGTTATTTCAATTGAAATCCATCCCTTGTGTGATATGTCATCTTTATATACCTTTATTTTTAATTGAAATCCATCCCTTGAGTGATATGTCATCTTTATACACTTTTATATTTATTCTTTGGTGATCTATCTTGAATATTCTGTCTCGAGTTAAGAACCTAGTTCCCAACTTCCATGTAAATCTGCATTCCTTCAAAATAGCCATCACAACGGTCTGTTTATATTAAAGGTTGCTCCTATTGAGAATAAAATGTGGGAGAATCAGTTAACATGGTTTGATCATGTACAATGGATTAAACGAATTTCTTTCACTATATTCAAAGCTTTACAACTTTATAATATGTAATACCAGTTTCATTTTGCTCAAGGAGAGAAATTATTATATGATGTTTGATTGCATAAGTTTTTTTTTAGCTTTCTCAGAGTTTTATGTCGTTGTGGCTCTTGCAAGGGGCAAACTCTACCACCTAGTGAGTGGGAGCGACACAGGTTCCAAAAGTAAAAGCTGGAAGAGCAGTGTCAAAATTAAAGGCACAATGATTTCACTTGGAAAATGGGTTTGTAATTTTTTTACTTTGTTGAAGCTTGCATGATAGGTTTTTTATATGCTTTCTTTCATGTAGTAAGTTGCTTAGTTTGTAATTTTATAAGTATGCAAAACATGGTGGTATCTTGTAGGCTACATTTCGTGAGATCATCAGACTATTATATTATGTCCGGCATAAACAATACCCAATGAAAGCTCTTTAACATATTTATTGTAATTCTCTAATATGCTTCTTGAATTCTGCACCTTAATATTATGTGTGACCAATCTATTACACTTAGCGTTTGTTTTCCTGAAATGCTGTCATTATACATAATTTTGTTTTTCTTCTCCCAGTCCACCCCTCTTTCTGTATGTATATGTGTGCGCTTATACATGTGTGTGGGGGTATGCATGATCGTTGTGTGTGTTAACCCTTGGTATGTTTGTCTTTTAGATATACAGCCATCCCTTAGCATTACTGTGATTATTTCTTTTGTCCAGTCATTTGCTTAAGAATCTGATGTTTCACTTTGTTGTCTACCTGCAGCTAGATCATTACAATACAGTTTCGGCAAATAATGGAAAACGACCTTCTCTGAAGGTATGAAAACGAAAGTTGTTTGCTCTTTTACAAGGTAAACAATTTTCCTTGTTGCTTTTGGTGTTTAATTTAGCTATTGATGTTGGTTATTGTGTCAAACAATTACAATGTTCTCAAGACCATAGCCAAATAAAGTTCCTTATAGTAGTTTTTCATCTTAACAGAAGCATACGAGCCTGTAGATGCTAAATGGACTACTGAACGATGTGCTAGTCTGCCGATGGGTTCGAGGACTGGGATTACAACATAATTTTTTATTTGTAACAGGTACTCCATATTATTGTTCTGATCCTAGACTTATTTGCTAATGCATTCACTTATGATTGTCTACACTTGCACCCTATAAATATGTGTGGACTTTTGCTAAGAGATGGTTTTCTCTCTAAATTTGCTACGCTTAGTTCCAAACAATAAATAGATTCTTTCAGTTTCTCCTTCTGTTCTGCCTCCCATTATCAGCATCACCACCATGAAATTCACACCCTCTCATTCTGGAAATGACCCCCATTTCCCACCAGCGCAAGATCCACTGTCACTGCCAAATTCTACTTTCTTTATAGTGTGTAATGTCAGCATTTACCACTATTGATATCTTCTTTCCTTATCCGTTTCTTTCTCAAGCAACAGCCTGTACATATGACCTAGCATTTACCACTATTGATATCTTCTTTCCTTATCCGTTTCTTTCCTTATCCCTATAGTCCTTGCAGAAATCAGCGGGTTAGAGTGGATCTAGAGAGTGGATTTGAGCAAGTCATGGAAGGATAAGGGGCCAAAGTTGGTCCCAGTAAATCTGAATGGTGCTTGAGCCACATCTTATTATCTGTAACACTTCCCATGCAGGGGTGTATATATGAATGGGCCATTTGTTAAAAAAAAAATAATGAAGGACCTTTAATCCTTTCTTAGGCTTAGGCTAAAATTTATGCAGACATTTACAAATTTTAAAGCATACGTAGTTAGTCATTTTAAAATTTAAAGCATATATTTAAGTGACTGAATCTTGCAATAAATATAATCTCATTTTTATCTTTTTATCTAAATTTATGCAGGAAAATTGATGGTGGCTGAAACAAGTTAATCCATGCGTGCTTTTCACTTACTGTGAGATTAGCTCTATCCAGACAATTTACAAATTATGTATACCAATGGAGGCCTTTAAACAGAAGACACGTTTTATTTTAATGAAAGAGTACTTTTAGTCATGTACTTTGGACAAAAGAAAAAACTTGTACTAAAGTCATTGTAATGATCCGATGAATTGTTCTTTATGTTTGGTTGTTAATTTGCTTGCACAATTTGGAGTTTCATTTCTTTGTTTGTGACATGAGCAGGTATAAATCATGGAGCTTTCATTTTGTTTTGTTCTTCTTTAATTTTGAAACTGCAGGTCAAAAAATGTGTGATATCTGGATGATTTGCTTTTGCACGGTCAAAATTGAAAACCGTCCCCTTTGCTATATATACCTGTTCCCATATCTTTACATCTGAAAATCATTCCCATTGCTAAAAACCGTCCCCATTGCTAATCATCTTCTTAGGTATAAAAACCGTCCCCATAGATTACAAATAAAACCGTTCCCATAGACAATAAAACCGTTCCCATAGACAATAAAACCGTCCTCCTAGGTCAAACTCAAAACTATCCCCCTTGGTGTGTAAGCGTCACGGTAGCTTAAAAATATAACCGTTCTCGTTGCCAAATAACCGTCACCATCTGTAAAAATATGAACCGTCCCCATAGTTAAACCGTCCCCAAATGTTGTCTACGGGAACAATTCAAGAATCGCGCCACTTGGATCATGAACCGTCCCTTAGATCTATGAGGACGGTTTTATTGTCTAGCGAGACGGTTATAAACCGTCCCCGTAGACCTATTATTTGGAAGTGTGTTAGCAAAATACAGCCTGTACATATGACCTAGGATTTCATGTGCCTCTTATCTATAGGTATGGGGATGAGAGAACCAAGGCAAGAGCAATGCTTTGTGACATATATCATCATGCTATCTTTGATGAGTTCTCGATTGCATGCGACCTTTTGTTGATGAGTCATTTGCAAGAAGAGATTCAACTCATGGACATATCCTCTTAGATTCTATTTAACAGGGCAATGGCAGAGTTCAGTTTATGTGCATTGAGGACGAGTCTTATTGCTAAAGCGTATGGGTGCCTGTCTAAACTTTATACAGGTGGTAGGGTGAAGAAGCTGCTTGCGCAAGGTGTATCTCATAATCGGTATCATGAAAAAACTCCTGAGCAAGTATGTGCCACATTTATTGCTAAATTTTTTTCATCCAAGCTAATATAACTGATTTATCATAATAACGCCTCTTCCTTAGTAATGATGCTTATCATTTTAAATCTATCATATTGAACTTAATGAGATTTACTTTTTCCAATTAGATTGTCCACATATGGAAAGTTTTTTGCTTATTGAGACCACATTAATTTCATGCATATTATGTTGTGCTGTGATGCAAATGTGCTGCTATGCAAACATACTTGTGTTTGTACATACTTGTCAGTTAATTGTCATTCCAAGTTATTATCTTACCGTAGTTGTTTGTGTGTCAACTCAACAAATTATATTGACATGAAATAGTTAAAGTAGATATTCTACTTAAGGGGCATATGTGCTCTTTGATTTCTTATTCACGATATTCTACTTAAGGGGCATATGTGCTCTTTGATTTCTTATTCACACTATATTCACGGTAAAGTATGTGTGGATAGATATTATATAACCTATGTGCTCTTTGATTTCTTATTCACACTATATTCACGGTAAAGTATGTGTGGATAGATATTATATAACCATTTTGTTGGCCTTCTTATTTTGATGATGTTTAACAAACAATTTACTTGTAATGTTGTTTGTCTAGTGTTTGTGTTTTTGTATTTATTCTAGGCAAACAACGTGTTGGAGGATGGATGGAATCGAGCCTTAACGATCATATCAAATGGAGGTTGGCGGATTTATGGAGTGAAGCAACGTTAATTCAAGTTAAAGATCCAATTACAAGCTTCTTCCGTAAAGTTTACCAAGTCATGCTCATTGAAGACCTTCATCAAGCTTGGGTATATTTAGTATAGGTTTATATTAATTATGTGTGTTAATTCTATAAGCTCAAACATACACACACATATATATTTGTGATTTTCGTAACTATAAGTGTTTTTATGAAAAATAAGTTTTGGACTATATTTACATCATAAACAACTTTTATTATGTCCATATAAATATTCCATAAGTTTTCAAAACTTGTTTTGAGTCAAAAATAACAATCACATGTTTTTCATATATACGTCTTTTAGTGCTTTCGCAGAATACAGTGTTTTTTCACAAATTATAAATGCAAATTGAGAAATTCTTTTTCTAACATGTTTGTTTTCATGTTTACAAATATTTTGCAAAGTTTCATCAAGTTTGGAATTGATTTGTTATGTTTAATGGAATTTACAAAATCATGTTTTTCATTCGTGCATGTTCGTGCATGTTTTACAAAACAGATGAGTTTTCATAAAAGGAAAGTGATATTCAAGAAATTATTTCTTTGACATGTTTATCTACATGTTTAGAAACTTTCCTCAAAATTTTACTATTTTTGGAGTTGATTTACTGTGCCTAATTGATTTTACAAAATCGTATATGTTAACAGTTTTTCAGAAACTGTAAATTTGTGTTCAAATATTTATTTCTCTCAACTGGGAAAATATTTTTCAGAAAGTCTTTCTCTGACATGTTATTCTACATGTCTATAACATTCCCACAAAATTTTATAATTTTTGGAGTTAATTTACTATTTTAAATTGATTTTACAAAACAGCTACACACTGCTACAGTACTCCGGTCGACCGGAAATGTCTTTGGAGGTTGGTTACTGTAGCTAACGGCTATATTTTCCAGATTTATATATATCCGTTATTTTATCTTTTTGCTTGGTTTTCTTGGGTTTTTAGGCTTGTTTCATGAGCCTATATATACTCCATGCCCTCATACTTCTAAGGGCACTCAAGAAATATTTTAAACAAGTTTAAAGAGTTTTAAACAAGGGTTTAAGTTTGTTTAATGTTTGTTTAGAAGCTTTTAAGCAATTGGGTGTTTGAGTTTGAGAATTTAATTCCATAAGAGCTTGAGGAGATCATCTATTAGAGTTTGAGCAATCAACTATTCTCCCTCCATCTCTTGTCATCTATTGAGAACTTTTCTAAACTCAATCTAGCTTTATATTTCATATTGTTTGATTATCATTTTATTAAGCTAGTATTCATATTGAGTTTAGTTGATTTTATTTTCTCTATGTTTATACACACAACCATTTGAGCTTATTGTATTTACATTCATAGTATAATTGGGTTGTGGGATTGTGTAACTTAGAGAGTGAGCTTATAATTCGTTCTCATTCATTGTAGAGAACAAACACTTTGTATTGAGCCTAATTGTGAGGATTCACTTGTAATACACTTGTACACCGAGAGAAGTGTGTGGTGAGAGACGGGGTCGAATCCAAGAGGAGTGACGTCGGTTGACGTGCCTAGGGAGAGGTTGTAACCGAGCACTTGAGGAGGAGGACACGGGCTAGGACCAACACTTAGTGTGTGAGGTGTGATTGCATAGTGATTGTATTGTGAGGTGTAAACGTTGTTCGGGTGAACGTAGAAAACCCGGTTGTGATAGTGGAGATCTCCTCGAGGTGAGGAGCGGAGGCGGAGACGTAGGACGGAAGGTCCGAACTCCGTGATCATATTGCTTGTTTGAGTGTGCTTTGGCGTTTATTCATATTTATGTTCATATCTTATATCGTCATTGTGCATTGCTCATTTCTATATCATCCACTATCTTGTTTAGATTGTTTATCCTTGTGTAGTTTATATATCATTGCATATATCTCATAGTATATCTCTTTGCTAGGATATTTACCTTTGTTCATATTGCTTATTTAGGCTATGAATCAAATGTTGCTCCTAAATTCATTAATTTTCCCTATGCTCAATGGGCTTCTAGATTTAAACTATTTATTGAATCTAGAAATATCGACTTATGGAAAATTATTGATTGTGCTTATATTGTGCCCACATTGGAGAAATCCAAGTGGAGCGATCATGATAAGAAAATGTTTTCAATGAACAAGCTTTTGTTAGAATTTTTGCTTAATGCTTTTGACTCATCCTTTTCTAACAAATTTGTTCATTTTGATAGTGCTTACAAACTTTGAAAATTTATTGAAGCACATCAAGGGGACTTGGAGGCAATCCGACAAGCTTTGGAGGATTCTTCTTCAAGTTCATGTGGAGCATCATGCACACGGCCACAAGAGGATGACTCTTGTGTAGTAAGCGATTCCGATTCCGATAATGATTTATCTATTGATGAACTCGCTTGTGCATATGAGAAATTATCGCATGCCTACACTAAATTGCAAAATAATTTTATTGATCTTAAAAGCAAGCATGTTGGTTTAAAATCCAATCATGATAAGCTAGTTTCCAATTTTGATATTATTTCTCAAGAAAATGTTGCTCTTAAAGAAATTAATGATATGTTAAAATTGGAAAATGAAAAATTGACTTCATCTATATCTAGCTTAACTCATGCTAATAATGATGCCATGATAGAAGTAGAAACTATTAGAAATGAGTTTAATTCTTTTAGAAATGATAATGTTTCATCTACTTCTATTTCCTATACATGTATGCAAAATGTTGAGTTGAGTCAAGTTAAACATCGCATATCTTGTTTAGATTCAACCTTAAAAACATGTATGGTAAACCATGATAAGCTTATGAACATGTGTGCTAAGTCTCATGCTACTACACCTAAACATATCACACATCATGCACACATGTATAGCAAAATTTATAAGTGCTCTATTTGTGGTCGTAAAGGACATTTATCTAAATTTTGCTATGATGCACAAAAATCTAAAAATAGTAATATCAATGCTTCTTGTGCATCTCATAAGGCTTCTTCATCACACACACATGTACATGCACACACTCATAAAGTTCATCACAAGCATGCTCATGTGTATAGATGTGATCATTGTGGTAGATTTGGTCATTTGACCAAATTTTGTTTTGATTTAAAGAAAGTTTCACATTTGCAAAACAATTTTAAAAGACCATCCATGTTTGCAAATGTTTCTAATGTTTCCCGTGCACGAGCTAATGGTCCACAAAAACAAATGGATCTCTTTCATTGCACAAATTGCAATCGGAAGGGTCATTTGAATGAATATTGTTTTGACCATGTTAGTGCACCATATGTGCCTAAGAGGGTTCATAACCCTAAGGCTTTGAGCTTAAATGATAGGGGTCATGTCCCTAAACTTTTTGGTACCAAGAATACTTGGGTACCAAAACAAATTTGATTTTAAACCAAGAACTTTAGTGTTTTTATTTTTTTATCTTGGTTTTGAAAATTATGTTTTAAGATCTTTTGGTCATGAAAACAATTCCTTCTTGTATCAAATCTTTTGTTTTCATGATTATTATTTTTGTTTTGATGAGAGGACTATGATAACCCTCCGGAGTTATTGGGTGTTTATTCCCAAACATTGTTTACCGGGTGCTAAACATATTTATATGTGTTGTTACTAGCTCAAGAGCTAGATATAATTGCCTCTCTTGATTTTTGAATCAATGATGATTTGATTTTACGTTTTTGGATTTAAACTTTGATTTATGATTTCAATTGGTTGATTTGTTTTCATTTGAAAACTTTTTACATGATTCTCATGTTTCTCTTCTTTTGATTTCATAAAATCTATTTCATACATCGGTTTTTATGTTCTCATTTTCGTTTTGTATGTGAGTTGTTTTTTAGCATCTATGCTTACTCACATATGTTTGCCTTGATCCTCATTTCATATTTTCTATATGGCATTTTGATAGGGGGAGCAATCCCTATATTTGTTTTATACTCACCCATGCTCATATATAGGGGGAGCTTTCGCTCTCTTCATTCCTTTTGTCCCCTTTTTAATGTTGTCAAAGGGGGAGAAATATTGTGAGTATACATTTCCTTATTTATATGCATGTGAATTATAATTTGTATATTCATTTCCTTTCATGCATATATCCTTTTTGTAAATTGTTTGTCATCATCAAAAAGGGGGAGATTGTTGGCCTTCTTATTTTGATGATGTTTAACAAACAATTTACTTCTAATGTTGTTTGTCTAGTGTTTGTGTTTTTGTATTTATTCTAGGCAAACAACGTGTTGGAGGATGGATGGAATCGAGCCTTAACGATCATATCAAATGGAGGTTGGCGGATTTATGGAGTGAAGCAACGTTAATTCAAGTTAAAGATCTAATTACAAGATTCTTCCGCAAAGTTTACCAAGTCATGCTTATTGAAGACCTTCATCAAGCTTGGGTATATTTAGTATAGATTTATATTATGTGTGTTAATTCTATAAGCTCAAATATACACACACATATATATTTGTGATTTTCGTAACTATAAGTGTTTTTATGCAAAATAAGTTTTGGACTATATTTACATCATAAACAACTTTTATTATGTCCATATAAATATTCTATAAGTTTTCAAAACTTGTTTTGAGTCAAAAATAACAATCACATGTTTTTCATATATACGTCTTTTAATGCTTTTGCAGAATACAGTGTTTTTTCACAAAATATAAATGAAAATTGAGAAATTCTTTTTCTAACATGTTTGTTTTCATGTTTACAAACATTTCACAAAGTTTTATCAAGTTTGGAATTGATTTGTTATGTTTAATGGAATTTACAAAATCATGTTTTTCATTCGTGCATGTTCGTGCATGTTTTACAAAACAGATGAGTTTTCATAAATGAGAAGTGATATTCAAGAAATTCTTTCTTTGACATGTTCATCTACATGTTTAGGAATTGATTTGTTATGTTTAATGGAATTTACAAAATCATGTTTTTCATTCGTGCATGTTCGTGCATGTTTTACAAAACAGATGAGTTTTCATAAATGAGAAGTGATATTTAAGAAATTCTTTCTTTGACATGTTTATCTATATGTTTAGAAACTTCCCTCAAAATTTTACTATTTGTGGAGTTGATTTACTGTGCCTAATTGATTTTACAAAATCGTATATGTTAACAGTTTTCCAGAAACTGTAAATTTGTGTTCAAATATTTATTTCTCTCAACTGGGAAAAGATTTTTCAGAAATTATTTCTCTGACATGTTATTCTACATATCTAGAACATTCCCACAAAATTTTATAATTTTTGGAGTTAATTTACTATTTTAAATTGATTTTACAAAACATCTGCGCACTGCTACAGTACTCCGGTCGACCGGAAATGTCTTTGGAGGTTGGTTACTGTAGCTAACGGCTATATTTTCCAGATTTATATATATCCGTTATTTTGTCTTTTTGCTTGGTTTTCTTGGGTTTTTGGGCTTGTTTCATGAGCCTATATATACCCCATGCCCTCATACCTCTAAGGTAACTCAAGAAATGTTTTAAAAGAAAAGAAAAGTTTAAGCAAGGGTTTAGAGTTTTACTGTTTGTTTTGAGTTTGGGTTTCTGTTTACAAAGGAGGAAGTTTTTACTGCAGATTGAGGGATTCATTCTCAATCCTCTTCATCCTCTTCTTTGTGGAGGTGTGATTGCATAGTGATTGTATTGTGAGGTGTAAACGTTGTTCGGGTGAACGTAGAAAACCCGGTTGTGATAGTGGAGATCTCCTCGAGGTGAGGAGCGGAGACGTAGGTCGTGGGGACCGAACTCCGTAATCATATTATTTGTTTGTGATTGCATTGGCGCACTTACTTTTATGTTTATATCTTATATCGACTTTGTATATTGCTTGTTGATTATATTGCCTACTATCTAGTTTAGATTGTTTACCCTTGAGCTTATATATTCTTGCACATACATTGCCTATATCTCTTTGTTAGGATATATCTTGTTGTTCATATTACTTATCCTAGCTCATATACATTGTTGTATTTCATACTTGCTAGGATAACTTATTAATTAGTTTTAATTGACATTTAATCGGATTAGATTAGCATAAGACCCTAATCACCCCCCCTCTAGGGTCTAACACATTTTAGGCCTGCTTATGAGATATATGTATTATCATATGCTATTTCTAATTCACTTTTCTGGTTTATTTTCTTTGATTGCTCGACTGATTATTTGAGCTTTGCTAAACGACCTGCTGGGATGTTACTGGGGACAATATATATTCATCTGGGTGGTCTTTGTTGATACTTTCCAACCTGTTTGTTTCATAGATTTCTCCTGCTACAATGCAAATCACTGTGGAGCTTGGAGTCATTAGGCAAGAGCAGCTGAACAAGTTCTATTTCATATTGAGGGCTCATAGGATTGTTCTTGAAGAGAATTTGTCGATTCAAGTTATTATGGAGAAGTTGCAGTCTTATAAAGCTTGGATTGTGCTCAAATTTGAGGTATTTTTCTTGTTTCTTTATTTTAAATTTGATATTTAGTGTTGGTTTTGTTGACAAGTTATGATCTTGCGGTTGATTTGGGATTGATGGTCATGCGAGAGAGATGGGTTTTTGTTGGAATTGGATTGTGTTTTGGAGAACAACATGCGCAAAAATATTGGGAAAGTAAAAACAATATGTGCAAAAAATGGATGTAGCATAATTGAGAATGTTATTATGCTCTTGTGGATATACTCTTGAAGATAGGATATAAAATGAATGAATTTGTAGGAGATTAGAGGTTGCTTCCATCAGGATAAAATGAGAGAATCAACTGAAATGGTTTGATCATGTAGAACAGTGACCACTAAATGCACCCAGTGAGGAGAACTGATATGATTATTGTCAATGGGCCAAAGAGGTTGTAGGTGGACCGAATTGAACTTGGTTGAAGCAATTAAGTAAGAAATGATTATAGCTCATTTAGTAGAGGATAAAGGCATAATAGAATTGAATGAAAGAAAAGAATAGATTCATGATGCTAACCCCAACTCTGGGATAAAGGCTTTATTACTCTTGTTGTTGTATTATGTTTTGATTTTTTCTTTAACATTTTCTTTTTTTTTCTTTTTTTACAAGGTCTCATTTTGGTGTGCATTAGTTTTAGTTTTATATGAGATTCATGGGTTTTGTTTATTTTTAATGTTAGAGAAACTGGTCTTTTGATTTGGAGGTATATTATGGTTTTTTTATGGTTTTTTTTTCATTTTTATTTTGTGTTGATTTTATAGACAAGTTCTGATTTAATATGGTTTATGGTAGTTTGTAAGTATACCATCCTTATAATTCGTGGAAGAAATTTGAATATAACTCTTCCTTTGTTTTTATGATATTTTGCTATATTTTTTAGGGTTTTCAATATCAACTTGGTGATTTTCGATTGAGAGTTGGAAAGTGCGTTCCTTCTACCTCTGAAAGTTTGAGGGGAATCATGATGGAGGTATGTTTTGTATTTTGAATATTCACATTCTTAAGTATATTTGTATCTCAGTAAACTTTACATGTTCTTTATGCTTCTATATGGCTTTATTGCAAAAATATTATTATTAAATTACTAAACATTGCGACTGGAAAACATATTTTATGCAACGAGATCATTGGATAATATTTGCTTGAACACATATGTAGTTGAGTCAATATAACGACCTAGAGGTTTACTACCAGGTTGTTTTTTCACTTAGCATTGTAGAAATTTATACCTCATTTGCATGTGAATAGTTACTTGCCTGCGTATTATGTTTAATGGAGTCTATTGTCAGTCCAAGATTTCTAAATGCCCATTTTGAGGGAAATACAACCATTTGGATGTCATATTTGGTAATGCACAATTACAGATTCAAGTACAGTTCAAAAATATTCTTGTGAATTTGGTCATAGTTTATGTGAAATACAGTCTCATTTTCTCATCTGATCTCAAAATTAGGAGTTAAGATCCCAAATGTGTAAATTCAATCGAATGGTAAATTTCAACATTATGAGAAATCAAGCATCTCGACAATCAAACTACATAATTTGGACCTATTTCTTTAATGATCAGCTACATGAATTTAAAGCACCTAAAGTTTCGGCTGCAATCAGTCAGATAGGCCCTTCAGGGACTTTGTTTTATAAAACATTTTATAGGTACTACTGGTTTTATCAAATAGATGGGGTATAATATATATCAATTTATCATTAAAGCTTGCTAATAATGTTCACAGTGTACTAGAGGTTTCATACAGAGAAAGCTGAGACATCGCATGGAAAGCCTTGTTGTGGTAAAGAGTCTCTTTATCTACTTTCATTGCATGCTAAAGAATCACAAACACACTATATGGACATCTGACGCGAAAGTTTTACCTTCAACTTCTAAGTCTGATATCCATCAACATGGTTCTAGAGATCAAATATTCCTGGAATAAGCAATACCTATTTTCAGTTATTGCCAATGGCAAATGTGTAGTATATCCAATATTATCTTGAAATACAACATGATAGAGCACACCATTATGATATTATTTGAGCCGTTTCTTTCTGAACAAGTTACTTGCATTATGGTGCTAACATACATTCTTAACCGCAGGTATTGCGAAATGCAAGGGTAGGAAAAACTCAAGATGCCAAGAAACTCTCAAGTGAGATATTGCCCTCACGTATCATTAAAGTTATAAGAAAAAAAGTTATAAGATAAGAAATAAAACAAAGAAGTGAAAAATATTCATTTACTACTTTCTTCCTATCTATTCTTTATATACAAAACTTTGTCATGAACTTTAAATTAGTTCAAAATTTGTTATAATCATTGATGAACATGTTTATTGGTATAAAAGGTATTTTTATGGAAGGATTAGTTTATTATTGAATGGAAATTTTTAATGGATAAGATCAAGTCGAAGCTCCTTACCCTGTAGGAAAATTATGATTCCATTGTTTTAGTTGGGTTACAAAAAAAAACTTGAGCTCGCCAATTCCACTTTTTCTAATTGGGATACAAAAACAGACTTGAGTACACTCATCCCACTTGATTAAAACATTTTAACTGATAAATAAATCAGACCAGGATTTCTACTTAATTAAAAAAATGAAAGATATTGAACCTAAACATTTATTTGTTGGAAAGCAAAATGTCCACTTAATTTGGGTGTAGGTAGTGGTTGTGTGAACAAGCTGAAGACATTTTCAAAGTCAATGACACTCAAAAGAAAGTATGCAACTCTGGTTAGCAATTCAATCAAGAGGATCCGCTCACCAATCAGAATAAAGGTCCTGCAAAAAAAATCAAAAAAAAAAAATCAAAGATACAAATGAGACTTTAAAAATCTATAAATTTAAAAGTATAAAAAAAGTCCCCTTAAAGTTTGTTGACTTAAAAAAGAGCTCAAAGGCAAATGTAGTAAGTGATTCTCTTGTGGATCTTCAGCATAAAATGGGGCGGTTTAATGCAAATAATGCTAAAGATAGCAGATGATATTTAAAGGGAAGGACAAAGTTTAATGAGTGTTTTGGAATTTATATGAGATTTTAAAATTTTTATGTGTGAATATATGTACTCACACATTAGGTATTGCAAAGGCTTAGTCAAACTCTAATGTCATGAGCTTGGATTACATCACCAAACATTACTTTTACATATATTCTTGTGACAATATTTGATTGATCGATCACGTTATAGATGCAACCGGTGTACTATCACCCAATCAATCACTAAATGTAATTTTATTGTTTAAATGTTGAATTTTTAGCTTATGTCTATATGTTTGATCCATTGCTTACATTCAATAATTTAATAACAAATATTTCCCTAAATAAAATTATAAATATATAATAAATAATAAAAATTTAACCGACCAGTGTATTATCACCCAATCAATCAATAAATGTAATTTTATTATTCAAACGTTGAATTTTTAGCTTATGTCTATATGTTTGATCCATTGCTTACATTCAATAATTTAATAATAAATATTTCCCTAAATAAAATTATAAATTTATAATAAATAATAAAAATTTTATCACATGCATTGCACGTGCAATCCAACTAGTAATAAATAAAAAGGATCTCAGAAAAAAAAGAAAAAATAATAAATAAAAAATGTAGAAACACTGTAAAAAGCTTCCTAGGGGCTGTTTGGTTGTATGTTTTTACCATGTAAAAGGATGGAAAGTGCAAAAAAGTGGGTCCCAATGTCAGCTTTCATCACTTTCAATTGTTTGTTTGTTGTTGTGAAAATAGTGTAAAGTGATTTCATATGCTGATGTGGCATGTAAAGTAATTTCATAAAAAAAGACATGATTTTAGGAGAAAATTGACATTGAAGAAATAAAAAAATAATAAAAAAATAATTCTAACCAATATGATCATTTGAGTAGGGATAGGAAAAAATAAAACAAAAAGATTGTAGGGAGTGTTTGACTGTCTCTGACCTTTAGGGGGTGTTTGTTTGCATACAAGTGAAAGATGAAAGTGAGAAAGTTAATTTCATTTAACAATTAAGGTGTTTGTTTTCATGTAAGTGGTTATGAAAGTGAGATGTAAGAAAGTTGTCACATATGATTTAATACAATTTTGACTTTCCCTAAAAAAATGGTGAAGTCACATGAAAGTGACAAAAATGTAACTAATTTAATTAAATTATTTTAATTATACTTTCTAATTAATCTTATTTTGCCACGTCATCTTCACATTGCACTTTCGATAATAATTTAAATTTTTAAACAAACACTTTATTTCACTTGCGTGTTGACATGGATGCAAAAGTCATTTGCAAAAAAAAAAGTGACTTACATATTTTAAATTCACTTTCAAATTGCCAAACTGCAACAGTGAGGTATTTATTATGATTTTAATTTTTTTCCGAGGAAATAGAAAATTAAGTTTGCTAAATTTTACTTTCACCAAAAAGTATCCCTAAATTCTTAGACACTCGTGAGAAAAAATTGAACCATACTCTTGTGTATTGCACTCATTCCTAAGTTGCACTCAAAGAAAAAATCACAACCACCAACTAGATAATCAATTGTTATGATTATGTAATGGTCCCTCCACTACCTTTTAGATAGGAGAGGATCCGAATCCTCTAAAACTTATCACCCTGAAAATGTCTTGCGATAATGCTGTTACTTTTGTACATGAAACACGTGCTTCGAGTTCCTTCAGACATGATCTACGTGCACCGTTTCAAGCCACAGTTTGTGATGCATATTTTCATCCATACAAGTTTACATCATCATCATGGTTCTCTAAATCCACCGTGCAATCTCACCAACAAACTCCCTGCTAAACTTAGAATCTTCAACCTCCGCCTCGTAAGCGTACAACCACCAAAGTTGTTCTCACTTATTCACATTAGACAAAATATATACCAAGTGATCCTCACCTAGTGTGGGATTAATATACGGGGCGAGAGTCAATTAATGCATTCTGAGGTCAAAAGGCATGTTTCTGTACTTTGATGCTCTCGATCTACTACTTGTCAAAAGAGATTATTATTTTTAATCACAGACGTTAATTTATCATTTATGATTTATATGGAACGAAAGGTTGCCATTGCATACACCATGAAAAATATGACATATTATTTGAAATATGAACAGTGTGCCTTCACATCAAACTATTAAGTGGTTAATATTGTTAATTGGATAACCGGCACGCCAAGAAAAGTAATCATTAGATCATTTTGTTAATTCTCAAAATTTAATTTCACTTTCACCTGTTGTTTACTACAGAGCACAAATTTTATAAGTGATTATTTCTGAGTCCTGGTCCTAGGTCATATAAATCAGTCTCTATATATAGTAACAAGTTTATGGTTGCAAACTTATAATTAATTGCGCCACACAAATTATCAAGAAAATACGGACCATTGCTTAATTTTCCTCCTCACTATAAGTAAACCTAAACCCCCTCAACTCCACCACCACAGAAAACACTTCTATTCACAACACAACAATGGCAGCACCCTCACTATCAAAAGTCTCCGTCCAAAGGAAACCCCCAGTCCTCCTCCCCCCCTCCTCCCTCACCCCCTCCCCTCTCCTCCCCCTTTCCCAAAAAATTTCAAACCTGCAATCTTTCCAATCAGAGCCTGACAAACCAAAGCCTAAATTATGTTTATCATGTTCTGCTGCTAACACGCATAAGTCATAGTTTATTAACACAGATCTTAGTTTCCTGAACTTTTGAATAGCCAATCACTTTTTTATATTTCCTTTGAACTTAGTAATTATGTTTACCTATTGAACTGTAAGAGGTAGTACACAAGGTTTTAAATATCAGATGTCGGGTTCATGTCGGACGGCTGAAATCCATGTCGGATAGCGGAAATCGGGGATATATCGGGGGACATGGACTAAATATCGGATTGCCATATCGGGTGATCCGTATATGTATAATATCATGTCCTAAATGTAATCTAAGCATTCCTAAATTCAATATAAACATACTTTATAAATTTTATAGACTAGACATATAAAAAAGTAAACAATATATGATGTTTAGGATCACTAACCGATTGTAGAAATTTGATTCTCGATTGCATCCTGAAACAATTTGGGTGCTTGACCTACAAAATAAGATAACATTGTTAGTAAACATAGAATAGCATGTAAAGAATAAAGCAAGTAACATATAAGATATAACATATAGAATGAAGATCACAACTCACAAGATTCATATCAAACATAAGCAAATCAAAACAAACAAACAAGTTTTTAAAGCTACAAATAGTTTAAAATTGTTTAACATTCAAGAGCAAATCCATAATAACATAAAAGATAAGATAACTAGAAAGTCTAGAATCCATCTTCATCATCATCCTCAAAAGTAGCATTAGCATCCTCATCCGACTCCGTGAAGAACGCATCCATCTCTTCTTCCTCATCATCTTCCATCGGCTCTTTTCCTTTCAATGAAGATGGTCCCGACTTCTTCTTTTTTTTAAATACATTTATAACCTTTCACTCTTTCTCTTCCTTGGATTAGCTCCCGAAATATCTCCAACTTGCCTAAAAGTTAAACACTCTCCCGGAAATACTTCATCATCACTATTATTCCCCTCCTCACCCAACAACCATTCGGTGACCCTTTCCTCATTATCGTAGGCGGTTAAAGGATCTCTATCTATAATGGCATGCTTGTTCTTCAACTTTGCATTGAACTTGACAAAGACTAAGTCATGAAGTTTATTATGAGTTAGTCTATTCCTCTTCTTCGTACGAATCTACAAAAGAAAATCATGAATTAGCATAAAAAACTAATCATCAAATACTACAATACAAGCCTAGAAGATGATTAAATTTTAAGAAATAATATTACCATCTCAAATATACTCTAATCTCTTTCACAAGCCGAAGAGCTAGTTGTCAAGCTAAAAAAGATTTAACTCTTTTGAATTCATTGTAATCGATAAACAATTGTAATGGATTCTACAAATAAACCAACTTTCGAACCAAACAAACCTGTCACAATCCTAATTCACATAGTCCATGAGTATAAATGTAGTCCAAAACTCCACCATTTTGTTGAAGAATTCAATCAAAAAAATTCAAAAAGTCTATCAAAATATCTAGCACAAAATTTTTTAGTCTTAATCAGAAGTCTAGGATGTATGATTATTGGACAATTGTCCTAGCCTAACAATCCTAAACGGATAAGCATCCTATAAATTTAGTGCTTGTTTGGTTCCGCCATGTTAATAATTTCTTAGAATGTCTTCTTCTTCTTCTTTTTGTTTGTTTTGTTTGAGGGGGCATAAATCTATAGAAATGTTCACCCAAAATGAGACTTTTCTTTGGAATCCATTTTCCTAGCTTTTGAGCTTGGAAATGGGATGAAAGCCACTTTTAGCAATGAAGTATATATATATATAGAGAAAAAAAAAATGTTTTTTGTACTCGGACAAGGGCTTTGACAACGTAATTGCAATCACGGATTTTTTACATATTAATCCCTCAAATCTTCAATAATTTCATATTAGTCTCTCAAATCTTGGAATTCCATGTTAGTCCCTCAAATCATATGACGTCATGCGAAATCATCCCTATGATTAAATACATTTATTTGAGTAGAATATTCCGTCAAATCTAAATATTAGAAGCAAAATTAGGGCTTTACTCCTCTGTAAACTTTCTAAATCCATTTCATAATACTTTCAACCAAAAACCCACTTTCTTAAAAAAAAAAATCAAATTCACTTGAGTTCTTCCCTAATGGTCATAAAAACACCGTAACTCAAAAATTCTCATTTAAGGAATCTACAATCTTCTCCTCCATTGTTTGAAACATTAAAGGAGATGATTTTTACATCTTTTATTAAGAAGAGGGGGTAATGTGATAATTAACAGTGTTTGGCTTGTAGTCAACCCAATCATGATTTTGTTTTTTTCATTACCAAACTAACATAAGGTTGATTTCGCAAGACTCGGTAGGATTGGAGGGACTAATATGCAATTCCAAGATTTAAGGGACTAATATGCATTGTCAAGATTTAAGGCACAAATTTGTGACCTTTGAAGATTGAAGGGCCTAATACCAAAAACCCTACAATCAATTAATTTATTTATCTTTACCTGTCTTAGTACCATGAATTCCTATTTTTGGGCGCCTATATCCAGACGATAGAAGAACAAAAACCCTAACTCTAGCCGCCGCCGCCGCCGCCGCCTCCTCTTTCAATTGTAGGCAGCTGAAATTCGTCAAGATTCAGATCTAGGACTCACCGGCGACGATGTACGACGACGATGAAGACGAGGACATGAGTACCGGGATCTCAGGATCTTACACTGGATTGGGAGGTGTTGGAAAAATATCAGGTGAGAATTTTTAATGATTTTCTTCTGTCACTTCCCTTCTGATTCGAAAAGTTATCGCATAAAAGCTTATTTCAAGCCGGGCCTGCCATTTTAAAAAATTTAGCAGACGCTCTTGAAAATCTTTCTCCGGCTCGCCTCATCTCAGGGAGTTATGCTTTCGGTCTTTTTGAACATTTTATGCTTACTTTTATGTTTAATACGCTCTGAAAGTAGGGGCCGGATAGAAGATAATTAAAAGATCTCCTTATGTTCTCTTAAAAGGCGACGACTCGGAGGCAGCGATAAGTCGGATGTGCTGGCGATGCGGAGGCGGCAGCAGGACTCGGAGGTGGCAACGACTCGGAGGCAACGGGACGAGCTGTTAGGGTTGGGGAGGCGAGTGATTTGTCCGGCGAAGGGAGGAGGGCGCAGGACCTTGTGTGCGGGCTGAGAGAGGTTTAGGAAGATGCTCTGTATATTTGGAGTTTCTGAAACCGGTATGTTTAGCGGGTTAGGTGTGTGTATGAAGAGTTTAGTCAATTTATTAATGTACACTCGCTCCGTGAGCGGTGAGCCCCTCTGACTGACATCAGACAAAATACATGTCGAACCTTTACTTTTTTGTCCCGACATCCACCGCGTGAAGAGACCCCAGCAATTACTAAACCTTAAAAGTTTGTTCTGTATTAGATGCGAGTATTAATGTCCACGCGTTTCATGAGCCTAATTGGTATATAAGAATAACATGCGTCTCGATTCTCGAGTTTCTTTATTTTATAGTATGAAAATTTTAAGGGAAAATCCTCTTTTAACCCAAAGTTTTACCCCCACTTATTTAATAACCCATCCATTTTTCTAAACCCCAATAAACCCATTGTATCCATATGACTTAGTTTTAAACCCAATGTCTATTATACCTCTATCTTTATACTGTATTTTTCCCAAAATTGAAAAACCCAATATTGCCCTTTCTCTTTTCTTCTGATCATCGCTAACAGTAGCAATGGCGACGATGGCTGGAGAAAATGGCGGGCTGCTCTCGCACTTCACCAACCCCTAATTTGGTACTCATCTTCAATTACTCTCTCCTTCTCTCCCCTCCTTTAATTTCCCCTCTTCTTGAGAAATCTCTCTTCATTAATATTCTATTTCCTTATGTGGGTCTTCATTAGATTTGAGCCCAAGGTACTCTCCAGCTCAAAACCTCTTGTTCTTTAGAATATTCTAAAGAACAAGAGGTTTTGAGCTGGAGAGTATCTTGGGCTCAAATCTAATGAAGACCCACATAAGGAAATAGAATATTAATGGAGGAGAGAGATTTCTCAAGAAGAGAGGGGAAATTAATGGAGGGGAGAGAAGGAGAGAGTAATTGAAGATGAGTGCAGCCCGCCATTTTCTCCGGCAATCGTCGTCATTGCTGATGTTAGCGATGATCAGAAGAAGAGAGAAAAGGCAATATTGAGTTTTTTAATTTTGGGAAAAATACAGTATAAAGATAGAGAGGTATGATAGACATTAGGTTTAAAACTAAGTCATATGGGTACAATGGGTTTATTGGGGTTTAGAAAAGTGGATGGGTTTTTAAGTAAGTGTGGGTAAAACTTTGGGTTAAAAGAGGATTTTCCCTTAAAAATTTCATACTATAAAGTAAAGAAACTCGAGAATCGAAACGCATGTTATTCTTATATACCAATTAGGCTCACGAAACGCGTGGATATTAATACTCCCATCTAATACAGAACAAACTTTTAAGGTTTAGTAATTGCTGGGATCTCTTCACGCGGTGGATGTCGGGACAAAAAAGTAAAGGTTCGACAAGTATTTTGTCTGATGTCAGTCAGAGGGGCTCACCGCTCACGGAGCGAGTGTACATTAATAAATTGACTAAACTCTTCATACACGCACCTAACCCGCTAAACATACCGGTTTTAGAAACTCCAAATATACAGAGCATCTTCCTAAGCCTCTCTCAGCCCGCACACAAGCTCCTGCGCCCTCCTCCCTTCGCCGGACAAATCACTCGCCTCCCCAACCCTAACAGCTCGTC